TGTTGTGAATTACATTAAAATACTTTTCTATGCATCGAGTTATTTAAGCAATAGTTTTTTCACTACTAAAGAAGGCAAATTTGTGCTTTTAGTAACTTCGTATGTAATATTTCCTTTATTTTCAGGACACAAGTTTTTTTTGCTTCAGGATAACCGATCTTTTGTCTGTCTTGTACTTGTATTGCGGCCTTCTGCTTATATATTGGGCAGTCCCCTGACCTTGATTAATGCTGTCCGCTGCAAATTAATGCATTTAATAGGATCTATGCATGGATTATCACTATGAAATGGCTTATCACAATGACATACTTTGACTCTCGCACATCTAGATGCCGTGTGTCCAAAACGATAGCATTTAAAATACTGCATTGGTTGAGGAATGAACATTCGTACAGTTAGACGATGAATGCCGGATTTGATCTTCTCTGGTAACGTACAACGCTTGAACGTCAGGATATAAGACGCTGAAAGAGTTATCTACCCACCCCGCCTCATTTTTAGCCTACGACAGGCAATGACTCCTTGAGAATCTAGTTCTTGAACTATTTCCTTTTCACTGGAGTTTAGTAAGCCACTACAAACTACAACACCTTTGCAGGTATCCTCGTGCCATGAGCACGTACTTCAACATCTGTAGTGCCTATTTTGTTCAATTCTAGTGACTTTTTGCCTTGATTGTCATTGAATGTTTCTATCAAGACTCCTAATGACGTTTTCTGTTTGTCATTTACGGCAGATCCAGCACAGGTGCTAATACTCTTCTCTATTAGAAATGGGCTCACTTTATCAAAATTCCCTTCTGTTCTTTTAACTGTAAGGTAATTTAGTACCAATGTGGTGTTCTTGAACAAATCATCATTTTTCTGGACGAGGGTTTTTAAGGGATCCCTCAACCCTAGGAAAGCAAACTTCCATACGAGTCCTGGGAAGCTTGCGATTCGTAGTAGTATCTGCCAGCGGTGCCGAGTGATCCGCACCCCTGGCATTGTAGACGCTGGATGACGACGTCCAGTGGCCTGCTTGCGCACCACGGACCGCCGGTACTGGGGCTCCGATCCCCTGCACCGTAACGGTTGATCCTGACAGATCCTCCATCTTAGATTTTATCTTCAGGGTCACCTTCCCCTAGCAATTTTGAGCTGTAACCTTATAGAAACCATTGAAGATGCCGTTGTGTTGCATATACTTACCCGACGCTTCATGACAAAATGAAGACTTACAAGACCTGATCGATCAACTACAGCTTCCATTTCTTATTGTAGGCAACTTCAATGCTCACAGTACCACATGGGGCTGTTCTAGAACAAATGACTCCGGTCGCAGAATCGATTCCCTCTACTTAACAATGAATACGTACTTTAAACACATGAACAAGCTCTCATTTTAACACTAGAAATGACTCATCCTCGGCCATAGATCTCTCAATATGTAGTCCAAATCTTGTAACACGGTTGACTTGGAAACCACTGCCTGATATACATCAGAGTGATCACTTTCCTCTATTGATATCATCAAACATACCAAACAACGCAATACATTTACCGAAACGTTGGTGCACCAACCGTGCAGACTGGTCGAGCTCACCAGACATATATCACCAATAAATGTCAGTGAAAACAGAGAAAGATGTTACAGATTTCACCACACTGTAATATCTTCGGCTGTAAAATTTCATTTCATAAAATAACATTCCACAGACTAGCGGCCGCTCATCTAGGATTCCAGCATCATCGTGGACTACGGAGGCCAAAGAAGCAATAAGGGAGAAAAGAAGAGACCTCAATCGATATTGGGGTACACCAACTCAAGACCATCTTTTTGCTTTCGTCTGCGTGTACTCGCTCACAGAAAAAATAATAACAGCAAAACCATCAAGCTTGGAAAAGTACGTAACAAGCATAACTCGGACGACCAAAGTCACGGAAATATACCAGAAAATCCGGTCAATAGCTGTGGAAAATGTTTTCAGGCTAATCACATGCGTAGAACACAGCTAGAAACACAATCAGCTACCCTAAAGTCTTTCTCGAGAAAAAGAAAGAAGTAGTCGACCTTACAGCTGATACAGATGAACCATATAACGTTCTTTTTACATGGAGAGAATTGCAAGACACCATAAATGCAGCTGGAGATACCGCAGCAGGATTAGACAGCATACTACGTCGGTTATCGAAGGAAATAGTCCACATTGCTAAACATATATAATATTTGGCCACAAAGTTTGGACAGAAGCAATAATAATTCCACGTTTAAAGACTGGCAAGGGTCCATTGAAATATGAAAATTATCGCTCGGTATCGTTAACTTGTTGTCTAGGAAAAATATTGGAAAAAATGGTCAACACCCGGCTGACATGGTGCCAACCTCCTGAACATACATCAGTGCGGATACAGACATCACTCTACAAGTGACCAGCTACTATCTACTATCTGGAAAACGCAATTCAGAATACCTTCATCAAAAGGAAACATATGGTTACCGTATTCTTTGACCTGGAAAAGCTTTTGATAAGACCTCGTATAACTTTTTGTGACAGCTAAATAACTCGCAAATAAGAGGAAATCTTACAAAATTCATATATAGCTTCCATAATACCATATCTTTTCAAGTTCGCGTTGGGCAGTCCATCTCAGAAAGATACGTACGAGAGAATGATGTACCGCAAGGCGTTGAGTGGTATACTCTTTATCATAGCGATCAACGAAATGTTTGACGGCATAGAAGCGTCAATTGGAAAATGCATGTATGTAGATGACATTGCTATATTTTATTCAGCCAAATCACAGGCAATGATCAAATTCAAAATGCCATCAATAAATTAGAACAGAACGCGGAAAACATTGGTTTCTCATTTATAGCAGCCAAAACCAAATGCGTTCACGTCTGTAGGAAACGAAAAAGCTACAGAGATCCAGATCTGGCGCTAAATGGTGTTCAACTGGCATACAATGAAACAGCAAAATTCCTTGGTTTGATAGGAATTTAACCTGGAAACATCATCCAGAATATACCTTGCGTAAATGCAGAACAGCTCTGAACGTAGTCAGATGCATTTCCTATATAAATTGGGGAGCATAAAGAGACGTCTTACTCCGTTTGTACAAATCCATGGTGATGTCCAAAATATATTATTGATGTGCAGTGTTTTCCTCAACCAGAAAATCAAGATTAAGGAAATTAGATCCCGTTCATTATGAAGGCCTCCATTATGCTTCTGGCGGGTTCCGCACTAGTCCTTCCTCAAGCCTCTACTGTGAAATCAGTCCTATGTCGCTACATCACAGACGACAATACTACTTAACTATAGATAAAAAATGCTGTCACTACCGAAACATTTAAACAACTCATCGATGACTTGACAAAGATTTACGAAGCATGAAAATGCTGATCGCCCTCCATAAAAACGTCACATGCTTCGTCCCTCAAACAATGGCCCCGGTGGGTTGCACATTCGCAGTCTCGTATCGGGAATGGTTGTTGTGTCTCTGTATTTATTAACGTCAAAAATAGTTAAAAACTGTGTGTGATGTGCTATGGGGAGAAATTAATTTGAAGTTACATTTATGTTTGTGTACGTCAATTTCATCATAATTTCACCCCATCCAAAATGGAAACGACTTTTAAAATGCTGACGTGCCCTACCCCGATGAAGTCTGAGCCCCGGTGGGATGCACGTATCGTGTGGCCCCATGATGGCCGACTCGCACCCCCCCCTAATAATAATGGCATTGACGGTCAAGATGGCTGAGATCGTTAGGGCTGTATTGCCGTAGCGATCTCGAACCAGGGTTTGGGTCCCGCCTCGGGCATGGGTGTATTTGTGTATTCTATATGTGTGTGTGTCGTCCTTTCATCCCTAACTAACATCATTTCATCATCCATACCCCCAGGGTTAACAACCTTGGGGGGCTAAATATCGGGATTCATCTAAAATGCTTACACCCCTTAGATAAAGGTACTTGCACCAGCTGAAGCAGTATGCCCGCGTGGTCAGAGTTGGACTATACACAAAAAAATAAAATAAAATAATGGCATTATGCAATTAAATATAATTCTCCTTTCAATATTATCATTTGATTTAATTTCAAAACAATACACTATGAAATTCATCATGTACCATCATGTAGGTTTCACACAACCGGTGTCCACAAATGAGGCTGGCAGTTCATTCCACTTGTTCACAATTCCATTTGTTGAAAAATGCCCTTGGTAACTCACGTGTATTTTTTTCTTTTCTTTTGACATCTCATTGAAACTCCTTTTGAATGTATGATCACCATGAGTTCTTATCAACACCCTCTCTAGCTCTTCCACAACTCCCTTCAAAATTTTAAAAGATTTTAGAATTTTGACATGTTTTCTTCTCTGTTCCAAGGTTCCTTTGCTTGTTTAATGCTTTCTAAATTTTACAAATTTAAAAACCAAAATTAATACTCTTTAATTTAATGTGCACCCTAATTAATAATTCATCTTTTACGAAGAAATGTCCTAGTCAAGATGCACTGATGAACACATTATTTTATTTTATTAGAACACATATCCACGAACATTTTCTTAAGCTCTGAAATACTAACTCCCTCTCTTTCATCAAACTCTCACAGATTATGAATAAAAGTCGGCATCAAGCGTTATTGACAAATTTGATGATAAGAAATTTTACTTTACATGTTTTAGAAACTATTTGCAATAGCAAATGAGCTATTGCAAATAGTTTCTAAAATGAGATTGGATTTGTCAGTACTGCGACTAAGCTCTGTTCTCGGCTCACATTCTGCAATATCAGAACTGAAGACAACCTGTGTGGATTATTCCCCATCAATTAAGTCTTTACTGCACTCTAAACTCCTGTCAGATGTTGATTCAGAAGAAAACCATGTTCCTTTCCATCACTTCAGTTTGGAATGTTTATTTCGTTACACCATGATGCAGATAAAATTTGTTATACAAGTATTTTTTTCAGAAAGGGTATAAGGAAATGATTCAAATGGAAATAAAGAAAATCTTTTGAAGATCAAATTAATTTCATTTGTTCATCCTTATAAATACAAAGTAAAGCACAAATATAAGATACACACAGGTGCAAAGCACCACTTTACATTCGCTCACCAGTGTCACGGTGACACAAAACACACTGGTTTCAAAAAATCATTCACCGCGAAATTGATAGCAAGTCTTTAGTCTAAAAGTGATATGGAAGCTCTAATCAGGCACACACTGAAGGGCCTGCAACTTGGGCAGTGTAATATTTCATCAAAACTTATTTAAAACCTCTGTCCAAAATTAGGAGTCGCTTGTGTATTGGCAGTGGAAGTATATATCATCCCCTGTTGTGTCACATGTTGTTGCTGCTGAACATGATGGAATTCTGTTTGCTGTTGCTGCTGCTGCTGCTGAGATGTCATTCCTGTTGATGTATTGACAGGATGATTGGGAGCAATTCTAACTCTCTTGGCACTAGGACCATGATGATTGTTGTGGTTTCCTTGATCACCTTGACCTCCCTGATTACCCTACAAACAAAACATATTATAAATTATTACCCACTCTCTGGACACAAGCAAATATAGCACTCTGTAAATCATTGAAAACCATGAGCAACATCAAGCAGGCAAAGTTGTGTGAGCATGATTATTTTAATTTTGAAATGTAGACCTTTCAAATTAAATTTCACAGAATGTAAAATAGTCAATTCAATTTTATATAGAACTAGTGAAACTGGCAATGCTTTGCTATTGCAGTGTGTGATCACACACTACTGGTCATGTGATTGTTAATCACACTACGCTGTGCAAAAATTCTAATAGATGAAAGACTTTCTCACAAGTACGGGTTTGTTCTATGTTCTGGTTTGGACATGGTTCTCAAGAATGATTGTTAAAATGGTCTCCTTCAAATTTGGGCATGCATTCACTATGACACTATCTTGGAGAGACTCGATTTACTTGTTCAAGTTTCAAGTAATAATTCCGCCCGAAATTTCACAAATGCAGGCACAGAATACCTGTGTGCAGTTAAAGCACGCACAATCCTTAACTGTGCAGTGGGTTGTGTAGAATTCAGGGGCGCTTGAGTCATCATAAAACAAATAAATCATCAACAATGTCCCCTCATGCCCAATTTAACTCAATCCACTCTTTAAAAACTCCCATTACTAATAGGAACAATGTGTGAAAATTCCAGTGAAATCAGTCTAGTAGTTTTTGCACTATGCATGAGCACAAATATGTACATTCCCTTTTATTTGTATTTTGATAGATTAGAGATTCTGCATATTTTGGGCCTCTTTTGCTAAAGAGAAGAGTACTCACAGGAGTTACAACCCCCAACAAATGCAATAGAAGGAACAGCAATATCTCATTCTGTAGATAATGGCATAAGGAATGTAACTCACATAAGATTGAAAGGAACCTTAAAAACCCGGGTATAAGGGTCTATGACGTATTGTTTTTGAGATATTCATGATTAATGTGTAAAGAAACACATGTGTAATGGGGTGCAGTGCAATGCCATTTAAAATATTCAAACATTTTAATGATTTCTTACAAAGAAAAATCATATGGCATTAACATATATAAAACCGTCAACTTTTTCAAGCACATCTGCATTCTATACCATTTTCAAAAGTGACTTTAACCTGTTGTGTTGTTTGGATAATAAACAATTGCACAAACAATTGTGTAGTTTTGCATAATAATTGGTATATTTATATTGCAATGAGTCATACAGACTCACTGCACAGCTCGGCCCTCGTGTCACGCTGAATCAGCATATTTCTAGGCATCTTTGCATCTTTGCACATTCGCCATGCGCAGCTGCGTGCGCCCCGCGAACCGAGAATTTTACAGCCAGCGTCTGCCCCGAAAGGCACCATGTTTATCTAGTTAACAGCCAGAAGCCTAAAGGGAATATTATGTAAAAGAGGTCTTACGATAGCAATAAACGTGTCCCCGCCATTTTGGCCGGGTGGCCACACAAGAAAAATGTGCATAATTTAATAGCTAGTTAGCAAATGCAACCCATTAGACCCAGGGCGCCCATCCCTGCAGATGTCTCAAAGCCAGCACCTAGATCACAGGTAGGCATACGCTTGGCGCCCTCCTTAACAAATTTAGCGCATGCTCCTGGTATCTGGAAACAACCGTCGCACCTTCAGTGTTACAACAGCCCCTCCCCTATGATAGTGTGACTCACAGCGGCACGGCAAAAATTGTGTCGTGTGGTCCATTGCAATATGTTATGTTTTTGATATGAAATTTAAATTTACACAAATATCATTCTATTTCCCCCCTCCCCCCATGATTCTTTTGAATACAACAATTTGATTCATCGCCACTACAATTCCAATTCTTAGATAATAATGTGTAGTAAATGATGGATAAAGCTTGATAAATATTATTAGTCATATTTCTATTACCTTCGACAACTGTCAGCATTCCTTCAATTATTTAATTAATTAAATGAAAAAAATAAATTGAATCTCTATTACATACATTATGTCTGAAAATTATTTATTACATTACTTGTTTAAAGTTTTTTTCCACTAGCGAACTTGAAAAGACCCCTAAAATAGAACCTCCCTAAAAGAACCTAAAAAGACCCTCCCATTGGAGACAGATGCCTCCTCTGCCTCAAGCTAGTTACCCAATTGATCATGATTGTGAAAAGTTCAAAATGAAGTACACAATAAGTTAAGATAAACTCTGTAGTCTCTATTGCACCTTCTCACCTCAAACATGATTACAACATTAGATTGAATTATATCTTGACAAAGCATGACTTAGGGTCTTCCATAAAACAAAACACAGAAAAAGATTTTCATATTTCACCGAAGAGCTGGGATATTTCTGGTAAAGTATTGCAATGGACAAAAGTTTGTTCTTATGCAACCTTTGAAAAGGGTGCTCGAGCATAAAACCAATGAGTCACCCAGTTTACCATGTGAAGAAATTAGTTGTTTTAACTCCTGACTTATTTGAGACAAATTCCCCCGGAATCAATTTTCCATCTACTATATCCAGGAAACTGTTATTAAAGTTGATTTAAAATCAGCAGAAAGAAAATGCTCATAATTTATGCATTTGGACTCCAAACATGGGAGACCATAATGTGTTTTTACCTTCTACTGAAGTAACAGAAAAGAGATCCAAATAAAACCATTTTTTATCTATTTACTTCATGTCATGATATACAAAAATAATATCCTTACGTTTGGAGGTTGATTTTGCCTTTGCTTGTTCTCCGATTTGTCTTCATTATCATCATCAGTTAAAAATTCTCTCTTGGGATATGGGATTGCACAACCTGCAAATACACTAGAATCAAAAAGTAAATTAAAAGTGTAGAAACATAAGAAAAGAAATAAGAAAAAATCAATTGTTCACGGAGGAAAAAAAAACAACCAACAACAACTGAAAGATTCGAGAGAAAAAAATACTAACTCTTGAGTAGGAAGAGGGTCTTCTTGAAAATAGGCATCTTGCATTGCTTGCTCTGAAGTTATTCTTTTTGTAGGATCCATCAATAAGAGTCGCTGCAGCTAAAACAAAAGAAATCTTTTTGTGACATTATCAGATCAAGAAAAATATACAAAGAACTAGTGATACTACAATAGCACACACTTTCTCCTATTGTTTTAAGTGCTCCACTTTATTATATTACTATATAAACATGCAAAATTGTTTTCAACCAGCCTATTTTTTCCACACTGAGTCTCAAACTCAGGTTCTCTGAGTTAACATGCTAGCAGCCTTACCATTATGCTACAGATTGTGGTGTGGTCACAAACTTCAGCCAACTCTTAAAAATGTAACTGTCTCAATCCATTATTTCCAACATGCAATTTTGAAAGTTCGCCGAAAATGGAATTTTCAGAGTTTGCTGAAAATGGGATGAGCTACTGAAAATGGGATATTATTATTTTTTACTGTTTGTTTTTTACATGTGAGGAGAAAACTTAATAAAAAAATCGGGAGCAGTAATTGAGAAAAAAAATTCAAAAATTTTAGACGGACATTCAGCGAAATCTTATTTAAAAAACTAAACAACAGTCTGTCCAGACAAAAATCTTTATCTTCAATTTTGTACTTTTGGCAGGTTAAATTTTTGCAATTTTTGAAAATATGGAGTGTTGAAAAAGCACCACTATTTTTACCAACCTTTGATACATATGAGGAGAAAGTTTAGAGAACAAATTTGGGATGGTTCTTCAGAAAAAAAATTAAAAACTTGCTATATTTTGCATATTAAATTACACAAAACTATTCATATTTTCGAAAAATTGAACATAACCGTACTTCAAGATCAGTCTTTAAAGAACAGATTTCATTATCCGTCCAAGAACGGTAATTATTTTTATCAAAAATTTGTTTTCGGCACATAAGATGAAATTATTGGCGTCTTTTGCAATAGAGAAAAATGCAATATTTTTCTAATTAAGGAGCCCATTGAGGGCCTGTGACATTTACGTCACAATAGAGTCATTTCACATAAAATCACACACTCATAACACATCACTATTGTTTAGTGAATTGAAACTTTTTTATGAGTGCTAGGGTTGAAAGTAGGCGACACATACTTTTTTCTAATCACACCCCTTTCAGAAATATTACCAATTACGTTTTCCAAAGATTCATGCGCACACTAATGTTTAATTTTTTTAAAAGTTTCCTCCAGAAACGGAAATACCGTTTCATTCAGAAAAATAAAATTACACTGAAATCAAACATAAAAAGCTGTTCTTTCATGTGACATAAATATAATTTTTGTAAACATATTATTTAAATATTTAAAATATATTTTAATTTATAAAATGCAAATTTTTACTTTACATCGACACTTAAATTAGTTTAAAAAATATTAATGTATTTCTTCACTAATTTTGCATTTATCTGCTAAATTTCAAAGCGGGCCACATAGTAATAACATTTTTTTAAAAAGTTTGTTTGCTAGCACACATAGGGAGTCTGCTGTCCATTGGATTCATGATGCAACCATGGCTTTATCGTAGACCATGCTTTGCGATGTCCAATCATAAAGCAACCGTGATTCTTCTGTTATTCTATGAATTGTAGAAACACACATACTATGATAAATGGAAGTCTTCTGACGAGATGTGACTACTAAATTTATTTATAAACTACTGACTGCTAGGGAGTCCCTGAAACAGAGCAGCTTTCTTTTTCAGATATAGTGAGTCAGTTGTGTAAAGAGAAGAATCCGTGAATATGTACATTGTTCTGTGAAGTTATTAACGACAGATAGCCTTACAATAATATCAATACTATTGTTCTTTGCATTTTCTTAATATGAAAATCTATACTTGCAAAAGTAGTGTGTATTTAGGTTGTTACAACCAGCATTCTTGAGAAAATGAAAATTAATGTTTACCGTCAAAAAGTTATATGTATTGGAAAAACTGGCTTTCAACATTCTTTCAAATAAAATGTTTCAAGAAAGTGGAAATCGACCATACATGTCAATGCCGCAAATATGTTGGGCAGTGACAATGAATAATAAACATTCACTACTGGTCCTGGTCACCCTAACGGATCACCTGATACGAGTAATAAAGAAACTGACCCAGTGAGTTTGTATTCTGTTTCTTCTGCTGTCTTCCCCCATTGTTTGCAGTTTTCTACTCGCTTCATGAGGCAAAAATAATATTTGACACTGGGAAGTTTCATAGATCAGTGTGATTTTTTTTTAGAAACCTATTCTGTTGTACTTAAAGATGCAATTCAGAGACTGTGTGAATTAATAACTTAGCTATTCTGCAGCCTTTTGTGCTATACTTTGGAAAAAGGAAAAAATATGCTTACATAAAGATATCTTCAATGCGAGTGCTGAATGGCATTTCTTCGCTTTGCAACATTACATTTACGGAAAAGGACCTTAAGCAATAGTGAGGAGGTGGGAGGACAACTACTATTATCTTAATAAAAGCTAACCTTCAATTCTGACAGAAACCAATTAATTTACTATTTAAGTGGGTTTAGAACTGGGTGAAGAACATTACCTTTATCTTTTTAGTAACGCTAGTAAGAGGACTACAATGAAATAATAAAACTATTGTTGCTAATGAATGGCATCGACTTTCCTGTATTAGTTTTCTATTTCATTTGGTCTCAGCTAGCAATTCGGACTTGCCACATACTCTAGCCAACTGCCATCTATCGCTGTCCAAAGTTAATTTTTTAAAAAATCTCTTAATTAAAACAAAATATATATTAATTTTTCAGTTTCCAAAGAGTAGTACGGAAATATTATTTTAAGAACACTAAAGAATAGTAAAACCTCGCCCTAAATGGAAATCATCTTTGAAAAATTTGGAGCAGTTTTTAAAGAAGCTGGCATTTAAGTGCTACCGTAACCCCGAAATTTAAAGCGCCTTTTCACAGAAAATTTTTGAATTTCCAAAAAACTTCATTAGAAGTTATTTGTAGCACTTTAACTCCCAAATACAGTAGCATTTGCAAATCGATGGAAATGTGCATATTAACAGCATGAGAGAAATTTCAAATAATTACATTTGTGTAATTTAAAAAAAAAGTTATATACGTCACATTAACTAGTGCAATTAGCACTATTTGCTTTAAAGTTTAAAGAGAAAATGGCGTTTGAGCAGTTCTGAATATGCGAAATATTGAGCTAGTTTTCACAGAAAACTTTTCAGTTTCCAAATACTTTATATGACAGTATTTAAAGTACATGTATTCATACATGCAATAATTTGACCAAATTGCCGCTAATGTGAATATAAACGATGCCAAAGGCTAGTACAAAAATTACCTTTTGTAATTTTTGAAAAAGTAAAAGAACAGAGCAAAATGGTTTTTACGTCATCTTATAGAGTTCATTTAGCACTACGCCTAGGAATAGTTTAAAAGAACAATTTGGAGCAGTTTTATGAGAAAATCTTATTTGTGTTTTTTTTTAATTGCACATAATATTACAGGAATCTACTAAAATGTTAAAAAAATGAACCTTAATGAAAGAACTGACTACGAAGAACAAATGCTATTGGAAGGAAAAATCTCTATCTTGAATTTTGTAATTGTAGGAAGAGGGAAAAATTTCAAAATTTTGCTATTGTCGAAAATTCAATGTTAACCATACAAATTGGGCCTGTGCCACCATTATATGTGTATTTTATTCTATTTTTACATGAAAATTTAAAAAAATAAAAATTAGCACTTTTTAAGAAAATTTTGAAAACGATTCAGGGGCTTCATTTAAAGTACCCCAAATTTTAAAGCCAGCTTCTCAAAATCTTTATTTTGAAAAATAATATTTGGGAAAAAATGAAAAACATGGTTAATATTTTTGCTTGAACTGAAAAAAAAGAGAAAGAATAATAATAAAAAACAGGGCGGAGGGGGGGGGGGACGTTACTGAAATAATACTAGACTATTTCATGTAGTAACGAATGTTGAACTGAACAAAAGTTCTATGTTGCACTAACAGCACTTAGTACTTAGAAAGCTAGAGCAGCCTTCATAGGAACAATGGCAACGTTTTTATTTGCTTCTTTACATAAACATTATCAAGGCAAAGATACCTAATTTTTGCTGAAATTCTAGTTGGTTTGGTTCACCAGAAATTCTAATGGTCTAGTAATGTGGGAGGCTTCCAATCCGGTGATTTTATGAGAGTTTAGTAATGTGTTAGATATGTCTGCACGGTTTTCATCCTAAAGATAAGTTTTGTTATATAATTGCAAGCATTTTTATACAGATTTCATGTATTGTAGACTGCGATATCAAGCATCCATGCTCATTCTTTACTGTTTGTATGCACCCTACAAATTTCCTCAATCATGCGGTTCGTAATGCCTGTACTTATTGTATGCCTTGATAATAACAGGTTGAGGCACATATAATTTTCTTTTCAGGCTGTCAGTAACTTTTAACTGATTTCATTTCCATCACTCTACACCCAGTGAAAGTTACACCAACTATTTTGTAGTCAAACCACTTGCATAGAAAGCTGCCATGATTTGTTTCTATAATGCTTTCGATGATTCTCCATGGCTTTATATTACTTTATTTCAAATTAGAGAAATGTCTAGTGGAATTCTATTTAGACGAATCGTACCTGTTCCATTATAACCTCTTTCTTTTACATTCCACAGCAAGTTGAAACTGGTAAACAAATTGTATGCAGCAACTTGATAAGGGTAATCCTTCTTTTCAACAGGCAAATTGTCTCGAAATGTTATAAGTGGAGCAGGTGACTCCAAATATTTCATCACATATTATATTTCTACCAGTTTGACTTTTCTCCTGATAAACTTTGAAATACCTTCAGCTTCATCTACATTGTTCTCATCAGTCATTTCAGCTACTTCAGAAGGAGCAATGAAGATGACTAGTAATCCAAAATTGTTCTCTTCTTTCGCACCCTGACTTGCTCTAACATTTTTAAAAAGTCTTCAACAATAAGACCTTCTTTAAAACGTACATCACCCCTACAAATTATAAAAGAACTTTTCAACTCATAAATACATATTTTAATAAGTGAAAACAACATTGCTAAGTAAAAATGTAGATTTATTATGGAACTATAAAAAAAGTAGTGCAAAAGACTAGCATAACATCACACACAAAAATAGAAGTCTCGAAATTAGAGAAAAATTACTATTTTTAATATTACTTCATAGTATTTTTAATATTACTTCATAGTATATTGTAAATTAACTATTTTTAATCAATGTCGCAGAAGTTCAGTGTACACAAAACTAGTTTCTAAAATTCTACTTATTACTTTCAGGATGCAATGCACAGTGTAGCCAATATTGAAATGAGACTGATGGTGACAAAACTCACTTATGAATGATTTGCAGCAGACAAATTAATTCTCTGACAATTTCAGACACATTTGCTATGGTGTTTTTGTTACGCTCATCCTTCGAGGGTTAAAGAAGAAATCTCTATCTTGTAGTTGTAGCAAGATGCCCAAAAAAATTACACTTTTGTAATTTTTGAAAAATCTTGGATTTCAACAAATATGAGACTTGTACCAATCTACTAAGCGTCTTTTACACTATCCAAAGGCAAAGTTTATTAAAAAAATTTGGAGTCATTTTTGAGAAAATTTTGAAAATATATTTAAAGCTTCATGTAAAAAAATTTCAAAAATCAAAATATCCTTTTGAAACTTCCAAAGCCTCGAGCACATTTGGATCAATCACAAATATCAATTTTATTTAATATTGGCTTAATGGTTTAGGTGCTAGCGTTGACCATAAACAATCTGACACTTGACGTCTATCAATTTTTCGGTATCAAGACCCACTAAATGAGGATGTTGGTGACACTATGTGTTAGAGGAAATAATTAAGTATACACAGGATCAGAATTGATCCAATAGAGCGGGCAATAAAGAGTGTTTTAGTGAAAATTCTCTACTCTTATTATGAAGTAAGCGCAAGAAAGTAGACATTTTCTTTGTATTTAAAAAATGTACTCAATATCTGATAATTTAGAAACCTTTGTATGAGGAGTCATGGCAGCCATGCTTTGCAATACATATACATAATATTTTGTTATAATAATTATTGTTAAATTTATGTATATTCTGTGACATGCCAGAATACCACACAAGAGTAATACAATGTAATGGATGCATCTAGAATGCTAAAATCCAAGAAATATGCGTAGCATAGAAACGAACTACAAACATTTAGGCGTGCCATGCTAGATGCTAGCCGAAATTGTATTATCGAGATACGGCATGGCCAGGTGTCCTTAAAAAGGAATTGATAAGGAGAGGGCATTGAAAATTTAGCTTTAGCAAAAAGAAGTGAATTCTCACTCTCATGGAAGCAGCCAAGCATTTCACATGGTATGAACATTATAAAATTGTAATTTTGCAATAAAAGATTTATATTGTGGGTAAATGTTTGCCTTGTTTTAATAATAATTACATTTGTTATCGTGTATGAATTTTGGATTTAAAAATATTTACTTTGTGTTTGTGAGTTTACATGAGGTTAATTCCATTGTGGGAATTATAAATTATTCATTTTAAGGAAATAGTAGCCGCGAATAAAGGTTTTACCCGAAGCCTAGTGAAGGAAAGCTGCGATACAATAATATTAGAGCAGATGTAGGGATTTTCCGAATAGCGGACTGTATAGTTAAAAACAGTTGGTAACATTCAAAGTTTACATAGATATTACGTTCATAAATTACACCACAGGAGGACCCATGACATCCCTTTATGAAGAAAATCATATCAATTGAGAAGATATTGCTTAAGCTTACGAACTTTATCAAAGCCGTACGGTTGAATAATGTTTAAAGTCCATAGAATCGTAAATTAATAACAAGCTGGTTAATAAGGTGATGTATGTTGTACTCAAACTCACGCAAGCTCTTAATAGAGAAACAGAGCTATCCAAGTTAGTAATTATTAGCGCAATTAAATTACGAACATAGAAGGGCAAATTAAATTAGAAAAATCATAAAAAGTTACAAATGGTTACCCAGCTTGGAGAATGATAAAAAAAGTTGAGTTAAAGATAATTGATAAATTAGAAAGGTTTAATTACATTACAAATGGGCATGCCCGTTACGGGGCAGGTTCATTTTGATTCGAATATGGACGAGTGTTAATAAATAAACAAATCTTACCAAATGGAATGCTTTACTGTCAGGTTTAATTTTATGCCGATCCATGTACTTGATTAATGAACAATTTGAGTAACTGCAAACAAAAAACATCATTTGTAACGTTCCTCAGTAATCAATTTAAAATGGCTATTCCATTTGTGAAATTAAAACAAACAGTGTATAACTATACATATAAAATGTCCCAATCAGGGCAATGTATCTCATAAAATGTATTGTTTTTTCTATTCGATTTTTCTTACCACTCCTCCCTACTGCCAATAATAAGCTGCGACACATCTACCTTACTAGGCGGTATGTATTGATCGCTGTTTACCTTCAATAAACTGCATATGTACTATATCAGAACCTCTTTCATTTTAACACGCTTTCAGTTATTTTCAATATTTGGCACATTTTGAAATTCTGTTGGACGTAATTTCATTCATGGAATGGTCCTTAGAGAAGAAATGCTACAATACCACTCTTGCTTTGGAAATTCTTGATAAATCCCCTCCTCACTTCATGCGTTAGGGATTTATCAACAATTTCCAAACCCTCGTGATATTACCTATGATAGTGGTATAAGTTGGAATTACAGGAATAAACAGCAAGTCTTACTTCTATCATTTTTTTCTTTGATTAATAATCTTTACTCAAACTAGCACTACAAATAATGTGCTTTTAAATGACAATAAGAAAGCATGTTCCAATTTGAAACGTTTTATGTAACTAACATCTAAACTGTGTTTGAGATCTACATATAAGGGCTGCAGCATTCCTGAATTATGGTTACAATTTGGACAAAGATCTTTCTAAGAATATATAACCTGCACTTGTAAACTGTTGAGAATAGACCTATATGAGATATCACCAATATTCAGTGTATTTAGCTTTTTATTAAAATTATAAAGAAAAAAATGCTACAAACTTGGCACGCTTGAAATCCTTCAAGAGTGTTGGGTGTTCTGGCATCTTCTTAATATCTTCCCAATCTTTTTCTAATGGAAAACCCATTACATTAAATATTCTATCTAACTGATCATGATGATATGGATTACTAGTCTTAATGTCTTCTTGTCTGCAATGAAATATAGGTTCGGATGTTAAAAGTTCAGCAAATATGCAGCCTATTGCCCAGATATCTGAAAAAAAAAGAATATCTTATGATTTTTTCAGAAAGCAACTAAAAAAACCTTAACTGTAAATAATTTAAAGCAATGAAATTACCTATGGCTTTAGTGTAATGTCTAGCCCCCAACAGCAATTCAGGAGCTCTATACCAAAATGTAACTACTACTGGATCAAGATCTGCCAAAGGTTTTAATGGAGCATTAAAAAGGCGTGCAAAGCCCATATCAGCAATTTTAACACGACCTCTTTCAGGACCTTCTCCCATTACAAGTATGTTGGCTGGTTTCTGTGGAAAAGAGATTATGTCTGATATAATAAATAACATACAATAAAGATATTAAACTTAAACATGCTACTCACCAAGTCTCTATGGAGAACCCAGTTTGAGTGAAGGTAGTGGATACCATCAAGAATTTGATACAGCAATGATTTTACCATACCTTTAGGCACCATTACAGGCTTTTTGTTGGCTTTAGCAGCTCTATGAAATTTTATTATGTGCTAAAAAAATAAATAAATGTTTTTAAAAATGGATATTATTATTATGTACAAATATATTTATATTTTTAATAATTTCATTTTCAACGCACCCATAGATCATGTTCTGCATAATCAAACAAAAGCCAGACTTTACGATCATTATGGGATAGAAAAACTCTTATTAGAGTAATAACATTGGAATGTTTTAACTCTCTGAGTAACTGAAACAGAAAGGAAGTTCAAAGAACACTTTATGCCCCACCACCTTATAAAACTTATTAAATCATGCATTTCACACAGCTGTCAAATTGTCTGCTTCACCTACAGCTATTTCTCTGCAGGCTGACATGGACAAACCTGTCCCTTCGATTTGTTTCAACGCATAATCTTTTGTATCCGACCTGAAAAAGTATGATACTTGAACAACAAACATTTCTTTATGGAAAGGGTGTTGTGTTATGCTTAGGTTAGAACTAAGCCATGTTAAGGTTAGATTTGACTGGGTTCAACACTCCAATAAACTAACAATTATTTCGTCAAAGTATGGAAAAGAAATGTGTAAAGCTTAGATCTGCATTTCCAGAAAATTATTAATGAAATTCTTACCCATCTTTTCGGCGAGCTTTATATACATGACCGTACGTTCCCCTGCCGACTTTGCAACCTTCATAGTCGAATAAGTCTTCTACTTTGGCACGTTCATTCGCTGTCTTTATCTTGAATTCATAATCCATTGTATTAAATACACACTATTTTACGAATCAAAATATATTCAAAAGTATCACAATTTATTTAGTGATGTATTAAAAACTATATTATTTTCTTCTGACAACTCGTAGCAGTGTTCGTGTTTACAACATTTCAATTCTACTTTCGAAAATTGACACCAGAGGTCAGGAAAAACTACCGTGGGGCCTTCTGCCAATATTGTGATTGATCATGATTGTTATTTGAATTATATACATAGACCAAGCTTATGGGTGCTCCTTGCGTGCTCTGTGATTATAATCATTTATATGAAAGGAGGTGCTGAAGCCTGAGGAGACAATATTTAAGCGAGAGCGAGGGGAAGCCGGGAGCGACCAGGAGTTGTATTAAATAAAGTGGGACTCATAATACTCTCTGATCAGGATCAGATGGTCAGGAGGATTTGCAGGCATACGCGGCGTTGGGATAATCGCTGATTGGGATTGTGGGCAAGTGGTTATCAGTGGTTATATGCCGGGGCATGCGTTGACAAGCGCAAGGAAGGCGCATTGTGAGAATTTATGATTTAGTGGTTGGTATGATTATAGTGGTGTGCTGTGCACGTGCGTGTTGAGGGAGTATCCAAAATTTCCTAAAACTCCTTCCGTTCTAAGTTCTTGCCAGTCTGAAATTTCTTGAGTAATCTGGAGAAGAAATCGCAAAACAATAAGATAGTTCTCATGCCATTATCTTATAATTATATTGTCAATTGCAGGCACACAACTTGAGGCAGTTCTTAACTGTCATATCACAAACATATCTAAATAGCCTTTCTCTTAAAGGCCTTACCTGTATGTTTAAAGTGGCCACATTTCTAAATTGTTGCAAATTGGAATAATATACTATTGCAGTATAATAGCAATCCAAATGAAGTGTTTAAATGCAAAAATTATGTGATGAGAATGGTTTAATAAATATTTGGCTCCAATTTCCATAATCTTTTGACATGAATTAAGGTAACCTTGTGCTGACACAATGTGCATCCATATACGTTTATGATCTCTCATTGTGTTACTTCTGTGGATATCTGCATTGGTAATATTTGTCTACAAATATGGATGTTTGTACTAAACAAGGAAATTTGGAACTTCATCAGCACTTACTAAGGACTGCAGTTACGTGCCTTGGGATAATAGATAATCATGTTATATCAGGTAAAAATTGAATATTGTCCTTGCAAAGTAGGGAAACTACTTAAATGTATTAAATGTTGAAGTACTGTTTACATTTCAGGAATGGGCGGTTTTATCAGAATTTTCAATATTTTGTCATCAAGATTGGTGGCTCAGATGTGTGTCTTTAGTGACTGTAAACTTCATGGTATTTCCAAAGGATCTGTAAATTATTTTGTTGTTTTTGGAGGAAGAAAAATTGCCATTATCTATTATAGTCTTGAAAGGTTTGTACTCAATCATGCTATTGTATGTCAACTCAAGAGTGGTAGGTGGACAAGGTTTCATTCACTTCTCACTTTTCCAGTTTGAAAATTGAAACTTTGTGGCATGTAGATGATTGGATTCTATGTGCTCGTTGGCTTGAAGATGAAAACATTGCTATTGGAACTGCTCATAATACTGTGGTTTTATGGAACTGGAGAGCTCAAGAGAAAGTGAAGTCTATAATTTGTGAAGAAAGGTGTATTCTGTAAGTTACTTATAAATCATGACAGTACTTGTTAACTTTTTATTGTAGTCGGCTGATAATTGTACATGGCCTTGGTATGAAAAGGTTCTATCTGACATTTTTGGCAAAAATAATATTTAATATGTTTCAACTCTCTATTGTCAGATGTAAAACATAACAAAACAGTTTTTAATCAGACTTTTAACATTCTTTGAACAAAATTATTTTCAAAATGATCTGATACAATGCTCTTAAACAATGGTACAAGAACCAAGATGAGGCTACTGGCTACCAATGGTTCAGGAGTGAAATTGCCACTGACAATGTCTGTTGTAAAATATCAGATCTTTAAAGAGATTCTTTTCAATTTCAAAAAAAAAGTTATTTTCTCAAAAACTGCTTCAAATTTTTAAAAGAACTTTTTCACAAATAGAAGAAAGGGCAGATAAAAGAATAGTGTAAGTGTCATTTTTGTTAAATTTTCTGTGTTTTCGAAAATTGCAAAAATCATTTTGAAACTACAAAATGGAAGATAGAAATTTTCGTCAGAAACAAAATCTGTCCTAATAGATCATCTCATTAAAAAAATCACACATTTGTTTGAAAAAGTAGTATTTTTCGCAATATTCTGCTTCAATTAATGAAATATATGCAGTTGTCTCACCAACTACAGCCCAGGGAAAAATCCTAGGAGAACAGGATTTGGTTCAAAAGCATATGAAAAATAAATAATTTAATTTTAGTTATAATTTACTATTGAAAATACACATATTAATTATATTTTTACTCTTTTTTGCAATTTGTTTTCTCAGTATATTGATGTATTTTCTTTGAAGAAATCCGCAAACCTTAATAGAAATAACAGCAAAAATGCCGCAATGAATATTTGAGAAGTTCATTGTTGAATGGTGAGATTGTGACGGTGATAAGATAAAGCGGTTTTATTTACATTCGAATTTACATTCGAGTTTGTGTTTAAAAATTAGCCTTTTAGAAATGATTTGAAACCTATTTGATAATCCATATGATTTGTCTGGGTAGCGAGGAATAGAATATTCATATTTTTACTGAATGATGGGTCATCTACACCTTTGCAAATTTCAGCACTTTACCAGCACTACCTCCCTTATTATAGTCTTTCAAAATTTCAACAAATATAAAGCAGTATAGTAGAACATTAATTATCTGTTTTGTTTAAAAAAAATATTTGCTTTTTGGGTAAACATTTTGTCAATTGAAAATTAAGGTAGGGTTTCCAAAACTTAAGATTTTATTTTATATTTGTACATCACAACACACTGCTGTTTGTCGGCTATAGAACATTAAACTATTTTACTATTTTTATTGTTACAGTTCATTTTACTATTTTAAATGTTTATTATAGTGAATGAGCTTGATCAGACACTAGTTTATTCAAATTTTTGAAATAAAAATGATGAATCACATTATTATAAACTTCAAAGTTTCATTTTCCAGAGCATTGAGGCAGAGTCAATAAGGCGGTAATAAATTAACTTAATATTACGAATCATAGAACTAGGGACAGATACAGCCAATCATTTTGGAGGGAGTCATTTTAGTTGTTTTTAAAAATAATAAATTCATTTTATTGTATATTATTTCTGTAGTGTATAAATTTTACTATACAATATTTTTTTAAAAAATAATTACAAAATTCTGACATAAATACTTAACTCAATTTTGCTGAATAAAGGAAGGTAATACAAATAAAACTAAAGGCCTTTTTTAGGGGGGAAGGCATGGCCGTCTTGCCCCTCCCTCTGCATCTGCCACTGCATAGAAATTAGTTATTTAATTAGTTTAGTAGTATTAGAGTTAATTATTTATCTACTGTATCTGATGTACTATGACATAAACAAGTTGAAATCTGAATACAAATGGAAATCAGCATTTTTGCGAAGAATTTATAAGAAAATACTTCCCAAGCCTGTACTGGCAACCGTGCATTGCTCGCTTCTGTATAATTTTTTGCGAATAGTGTAACCGTCAAATTAATTCCCATTTATGCTACTGGCTATCGAAAACAAACTAGACGAGACTAGAGTGGTCTACTAGAGCGTACTAGAGTGCAACAACTAGAGATCTACAGAGAGTGCACTCGTGCTGAGAAGTGGCCAGTGTCCTTCCATGAGCTAAGTGTTAGCCAGCAGCTCCTTGAGCAAAAGTGTTGGCGTAGCGGAAGCCCATTGCTCTCGTAGCAAAGGACTCCGAAATGATAAGTTCCAAGGATCCTTCCCAGAGCACAGAGAAGCAGACGGTGAGTGGCGCTAGCGTGATTCCCCACCCTGACAAATCATCCCAGACCCGACCTCCTGATAGCCCCCTTTCTTTCACTTCCCCATCTTGCACCACCTTACTCAGCTACTGCTACTTCAATTTTTGCTTCCGTGTGCCAAAACATCACACGGCCAAAGCTTCCTCCCCTGACGTACTTACGCCACAAACTACTGGCAACCGCTTCAGCCCACTGACACCAGAATCGGAGACCGACAGGACCAACAACACTGAAGCCCCGACTACTCCTGAGATAAACTCTACGCCTATGAGACGCCCTCAAATAGGTGCTATACATATTGACAACAACGGACTGAAATACCCTACAAGACTTCTGACCTCCAACACCTACCTAATAGCTTCTTGGCAAAAATCACCCGGACTGAACTAATCCTCCAAGCCAAGACTACAGACGCTCACCAGAAAATCCTGAAGGCTTTGGAGGCTATTGAACTAGACCCCAACATATGCACACATTACTTTAACAGCAACCTTTACTACCACCACCGGAGGACGACAGAAGAACGACACACCAAACTAGTCATAAAATGACTATCACCCAACATCCCCATGACTGACATCTCGACTGTCCTCTCCCAATTCTCTTTTACAATTCACCACATTCCTGAAATGAAAAAGAGGTCTGACAACTACACCTTGATAGGACTTGGACTGTACATGATTGACACAGGATAAATCAAGTCAACTATCCAATACCTACTTCACCACAGAATCACTATCCTCGGCTACCACCAGACTGAGTGCATACCTCGATGCGACAACTGCCAGATGCTCTTTCACACTCGACACTACTGCCACAGAGACGATATGCGCTAAATGTAGTAAAAATCACCACACCTCGACCTGCACAAACCCCAACTTCAAATGCGCAAACTGCAACGAAGCTCACACTACATGCTCACCTGACTGCCCCATTATGACAAAACAAGACAAACTACACAACCTAGACAAATCTAACGAGACTCGGACGAACATTTGCAGCTCCCAGCAGCACTGACGTCCCACCACTCCATCAAACAAATACCACCACACTCCAACAAACCTTTACCTCAACTACGACCAATCCACGACAATCCTACTCCTCCCGCACCAGCAACTTCACTCCCACCTCTACCGTCAGCGACTTAAAAGAACTCAATAAAACCTGCAATCTTACCCAACTCATAGCTACCATGTGACATCACTATCTGCAAAGCACCAAATGACATGACCAAAATCATCACCATTATTACCAACGTTTGCGAACTTTTCTAAATTCACCAGACGCCGACTTCTTAACATTTCCTCCTGGAATGTCAATGGCGGACTTGCTCAAAAGCTGATTGATATAAAACAATACCTGACAGACTATTCCGTCGGGGTACTTCTTATACAAGAGACGCACTTTTCACCTTCCCGCCCCTTCAACATCCCCAACTACATTACCTACCAAACAGACCATCCCACCCACGGCGGTGGAACTGCAATTTGCATAAAAAAAGACATCCCTCACACCAAGCTTCCCTCCGCCCCCACCACTCACATTGAGAATACCTTAATCCAAATAGCCACCCCCATGGACCTCTCACACTTAGCTTCCATCTATAAACTTCACCTCCCACTACTAGACAACGACCTGAGTTTACTCCCGCGCGACAATTTTATACTAGCAGGTGACATTAATACGAAATCAACTACCTGGGGATGCAGTCATACTAATACCAACGGACATATACTGCAGACGTATCTAGACACAAACACGTATGTAACCCTTTCACCACAAGCAGAACCTACGCACCTTATCCGCCCCCTCCCTCACGACATCCTGGATTTCGCCCTTCACTCCAACATTACAATAAGCACCCCTCATCCAAATCCCGAAATCACCTCCGATCACCTTCCAATCATCTTCACCATAGACACCATATCCCCCAACTTCAACATACCCTCTCTATCTCCATCGACTGGCTCAAATTTAAACACCTCATTTACAAATAAGTGAAGCCTCCAAACGCACTAAAAAATTCAAATGAAATCGATCTGGCCATAAATCATATTAACCGATCCTTTCGAAAAGCATCCACATTTACGGCAACACATAAGAAAAGCTACCACACTACATACTATTACTTTTACGCTACAAATGCAAGACTCAAAGAACCTTCTTCAAAACACGTCGACATGATGACAAAATGACGTACATATATTACAAACGAACATCACACGACGCACTAGTAGACTACGAACGCCAAAACTCAACAATAACGGAACTTACTAAGCACCCCAGCAACATTTGGACTTTAATAAAAACCCTGAAAGAAACTAACCTAACAACATTTTGCCTCTACGACCCGACGGCGCAAAAACCTGTGATCCGCAGACTATGACAGAACGTTTCGCAGTCAAACTTCAGACAAGATTCACTGTACCCGACACACCCCTCTCCTCATCCACCATCTTACATTTCATGAAAACGCCCCATCTCCCGCAACATCAACAAACCTTGGACTACAATAAACACGGACGTAACTAACGAATTGAAAATCCCCGACGGCGGCAAAGCTACCGGCCCCGACGAGAGAAGAGTCAGAGCCACCGCCATAAAAAAACTGACCAAAAATGTGACTGACTTCATTGCAAAAATATTTAACGCATGCATCCAAACCTCCTACTTCTCCACCTCCTTGAAAATTGCCAAAATTAAAATGATCCCCAAACTCAACGAG